GTCCCCCGCCGTGATATTGCTGGAATATTGCTAAAAGCGGCGTAAAACCATACTCACTCACTCACTCACTCCAGCCATGAAGCTAAACGTTAGGTGGTCTAAAACGTGTATTTATATTGTTAAGTTTTCACATTGTAGATCATGGTAGATTTGATATGTTGTAAATTTTTTAATCCAACCAACAAACTTTATGAGAATGAGTTCTATGTAGACAGTATGACAGGTACAGTAAACTACGGTTATAACGAACTCAAAGGGACCACTAATTTTAATCTGTTATAACCGTAGTTCATTATAAGCATTTCGCATTTTCTAGTCATCACATTTTCTAGACAGAATATATCTTCAAAGGCTATAGCCTTATCACAGTTTTGCTATTTTTAATTAGGGGTGTAAATTGAGGACATGGTGTACATAATGCAGTTAATCACTTGCCATCAATTGTTTATTACCTACTTGAACAGCCAAGCGTTGCAACAGATGTTTTGATAGGCTGATTGGAGACATGTGAGCAGCTCAAAAATTAACAGTCCGTTTTAAACATTGTCGTTGACAGAGTACACCTCGGACCACAAAGTAAGTTCGCTTTATCCGTTATTTCATTGTAAGCGTGGTCATTATATATCATTTTATATAAGATACATAGTAAATGGTGAGTTTTATAAATCTGCACATGTATTGACATGACTTGGACGGGAAGGTGAGAGCCAGAATATTGTTTGATCAGAAGTGTTTGTTGTGTGACTGCAGTAGTCTGCCTTTGATACAGATATGTCGATAGACTGACTAGCATAATGCATGATATATCAGATTTATTCTCTATAAACATCAAGCACATATTTAATTCACTCTGTTAAGTTTGAGGAGAAAAAGATTTTCTGTTTATTCACTGGATCCTGTAAGTATAAATCTGTTTGAACATGTTTTCGCTTCAGGTTAAGAAGACCTGTGTACTACACTCATTTATTGTGATGGTCATGAGTGAGTGAGTGAGTATGGTTTTACGCCGCTTTTAGCAATATTCCAGCAATATCACGGCGGGGGACACCAGAAATGGGCTTCACACATTGTGCCCATGTCGGGAATCGAACCCGGGTCTTCGGCGTGACGAGCGAACGCTTTAACCACAAGGCTACCCGACCGCCCCGTGATTGTCATGAATGTCCAACACTCATTTATTGTGATGGTCATGAATGTCCTTTTCAGTGGGGTGTGAATACAAACAAGCTGAAGTAGAAGTGCTTACTTGAAGTCGACAATCCAGCTTGCAGGTCATTGTATAGTCCTGCACCATGACCGTGGAATATATTTATTTTATGAAAAAACATAATCTAGAAATGCATCCAAAAGCAAGTCTAGCCAGCTCAAGCTAGCTCTATTCCACAATCAGCATAGGGAATTTTTTTTTTTTTTAGAGTCAAGAAGGATATTGTGTAATATAAGATTTCAGAGACTAGATGTTAGTCTAGTCATTGTACCTAGCTTGCACTACATCCTTAGTGAGTTGCTATTACAAGCTGGTAAATATCTACATCCTGCCCACATGCGGAGCAATCTCTGTCTACGAAGGTTTATCTTACATCGTAATCTCCTATATTAGGTTTAGTGACTTGAAACTTTAGCTAGTAAATCACGATGTTGGTGCTCTTACCATCGTCTGTCTCCTAGACCCTAGAGAATGAAATAAGAAATGACTCCAGCTAAAGTCAAGGTTCATACAGGCTTGAAAAGGACTTGATTCATAGTTTAAAGTCCCTCTTGAAAAGCCTTGATGTTTTTGTGTCTCTTGAAAAGCCTTGATGTTTTTGTGTCTATCTTGAAAAGGTCTTTGAAAGGCATTTAGAAAAGACTTGAAAATTCACAAAAATAGTTTGAAAAGATTTGAATTTGTACAAAATGACATATACTGTTTGAGTGTGATTTGTCACAGTGATAGATTTGTGTGCCAAAGAACATGAAGCATTCATGACAGTCTTATTTTATTTTTAGGTTGTGAAAATAGATCTTGTTGGAATATTTGGGGTGTTCATAGTAGCTTCATACTGTTGACAGCCTTTAAAATCCTGAAAAAGGCTTTGAATTTAAGTGTTTCATATCTGAAAGATTTGGCAGGTCTAGATTGCTTCAGCTCTAGGAAATTAAGCATTGATCTGGGCTCCATTTGGATTTATGTTTCATATTTTGTAGATATATATTTTGAAATAAGATGACTTTATTTCTGGGACAAAGTGATTTCTCGATATGATGTACAAAGAAAAGAGAGAGTGAATGACAATATTCATTATCTCACCTTACATTAAAATGCTAGTTCTGATCGGTTAAGGAGCAGGTAATTATTTTCCATGTAGCCCGCTCATATACCCCACTGAGAGATCAATCTTGTATCATTGAGATGAAATGAACCAATGTTTATCCAAATGCATTGGGTAAAGAATATTTCGGTTTGCGTCGTCTGCTAGCTGTCAAAATGGCGGAATTAAAGTATTTTACTTTGTGAAACTTCGGACATATATTCCGGGTCTGTATGAATGAATGCCAGTGAGATAAATTCATTGTCAGTCGATCCCTTGGGGCATGTGGTGTGATGTACCCTGTGCGTGAGCCCATGTACCCTGAGCCTAACAGTTCACCGCAGGGTACCACATCATATACCCCTTGAGATCGGTTGACAACTTATATGACACACATCCTGTTCAATTGTATTTTGCCTTTCAAAGCAAAAACTTTTTACTTTTGTAAGGCACACTTGAAGCAAGCAATGTAAGAGTTTTCAAGGAAACATGCAAATTTTAACAGCAGTTCACATTTTTCACATTCATCTATTGACTCTACACATTGAGACTTGCTGTCACCCAGACAGGTCAACTGATATAAATGTGTGACATTGTTTAGGGGTCATGTTATTGAGACACTCAAGTCTAGTATGCAGGAGTCCTTGGTATACGCCCGAGAGGTTTATTCTCCCTGCAGTGTTTTATTGTATGATAAGCAAGACCACAAGTCGTTTATTTCCTAAATGAGATATCAACATTATATACAGCCTTTTTAAATGCCAAGAAAAGTCAACATAGCATCTTTGCAGATTTTAATACTTCAGGCATACTTAATAACAAATGCTTGACCAAAATGAAATTGGAAAAAGGGTCTGCTCATCTATTTGATGACGGTCGCCATAACTTGTCACCTTAACATCAACACTGAAGATGCCTTCAGTTGTTTAGTTGGGGGATTAATCCCTGACTGGCATTTATTGTGTGGAAGTGAGGGCAGCTGGCGTTTTATTACCCAAACACGATGTCAATAATAAAATGTTAGTTACTGATTGTTAATTGTTATTTTCTTTGTTCTCAAGATCAATGGTCGTTTCACACAACCAACAATGTATGCAATGTTGTTATTTTGGTAGGATTAAAAGAAATAGCAGGAATAGTATATTTATAACAGCTGAGAATCATAAGATTTATAAACATGGCAAACCTTTTAGCCAATGAAACCAGCTGTCACTGCTGAGCTGGTAGCTTTAGGCCATGCCTCCCCCCCCCCCTACGATTATTATAAATTTTTATGTCTCAGAAATTGACTAAATTTATTAAGGAAAATCAATAATCACAATATTTTTTTCACTTTACTAGCCCTTAAGGATGTTAATAGTATGTACAAGCTTTAAAAATATTGACCCGTATTGAAATAATGATCCCTGAATACAATCCAACCTCGCCAATGTCAGACAAGTCCATTTTATGATCAGGGGAGTTAAGTTTGATGCTTCCTAGATATTCTCACAATTTACATACATACATACATACATACATACATACATACATACATACATACATACATACATACATACATACATACATACATACATACAAAACCGCCTCCTTGGTCCAGTGGTAGAGCGTCCGCCCGGAGAGCGGAAGGTCCGGGGTTCGATCCCCAGCCGCGTCATACCAAAAGACGTTAAAAGATGGTACTTGTTGTTAGCCTGTATGGCGCTCGGCATTACGGGGCTAAAACAAGGACTGGTCGGTTCGGAGTCAGTATACTGTGACTGAGTGGGGTATTCATGTTAAATTGTATGGTATCTCAGTGAGCTAGCACTATAAATCGTCCGGACTAGTACAAGCAGCCACACACACACACACACACACACACACACACACACACACACACACACACACACACACACACACACACACACACACACACACACACACACACACACACACGTCACTATATAAGTGCAATAATCTTTGACGCGACGTTAAACCTGATTTCACCTCACCTCACCTAGGCCCTAGAGAATAAATGAAAAAGTCCAACTCAAGGGTAGAATGATTTCGTATGTCTAGAGTGCCTCAGTTGTAGGCTATTCTGGGCTCCATTTGGATTATATATTTTTTATTTTGTAGATATATATTTTTAAACAAGATAACTTTATTGCGGGTACTAAATGTCAGTCTATAGATTCTGTTACTGAGGGTCTTTCAAGCAAAGCCTATTTAAATGTGTCAATGGATTCTTGATTCTTCTTATGTAATTATAGTTTCTCAATTTTATTTTAAACATGAACACCAAGGTTATCAGTGTATCAAGTTTTTGGCTGTTTTTAAAGTATCATACAAAAATATATTTTTTTAAATTTGAAAATCCCATCCCAGTAGGCTCATTGACAACACATAACATACTCTGTTGAATCCTGGCTGTACTAAACAGTGGACAGTGGTCTTGGTAATTGTATTCCACCACAGACCATGTCTGTTGTATGGGCTCTTATCCCACATCGGAATCATGGAGGCTGTAAAATATGTCAACAAGCTGGGAACACACTTGGGTCATCTGGGCAGGGATGCTGCCACAGAATTGCCAGTGTTCCAGCATAAACACAGAGCGGTTGGCACAAGTTAGTGACCTGGTTTCATGCAATCGTTAGTTGGGGGAGGAGAAGGAAAGCGAGAGAGGAAGTTGTGTGAGTTGGTGGGAGAGCTGATACTGTGAGTCGGATACTGTGATTCCCGTAACATCAAGATCCCCATCTGGATGGAAGTTGGTTAATTTAACCTCGAAGATGAACACAGAATAGAGTTGTGTGGAATATAGCTTGTCTGGGATGGACTGGAAGCCAGGCATGCATTTAGTAATTGGAGAAGTGAGATATTGATCGGCCCATGGTATTACAGACACTTTGGATGCCCATGAATCATAGGACTGAATATGCAGACTAACATGCCATGTTGTAACAGGACTGAGGGTACTGCTATTGTGTACACCATTGTGAGAGTCAGTGTCATCTTGTGTCAGCATTCTTCGAATGTCAGTAGCCTAAATGTTGTGTGACAATGCTGCTGATATTGACGTCTTGTGCGGCGGTGTTATTGGGAGATTTAGATGGATCTAGATTCAAGCTTTGATCAGTGTGACTGGAATATCTTTTAGAGGAAAGATCTCCGTGTTTTTGTTCGTTGCAAGAGTCCAGTTACCCAAAAGTTTGGACTAATCAAGGGACATAACTCATGATTGCATAAGCCATGGCATCGTTATCAATATTCATCAGCCAGTGAAAAAAACCTGTGTGATTACACTTATTTACTGATCTTTTGAAACTGTATTTGTATATGGTCATTTTCTCCTAAAATGAGTGGACGACAGCCATGCCTGATGATGACATACCTTATTTGTGACACTGACCCAATTCTAGTGATTAGGCATTAAGTAAATGTGTCAATCACATGATAGATAATCAGATGCAGAGCATAACTAGTTGTGAATCTCGGTTACAGAACTTTGCCAGCGTGTCGTGCCAGTGTTTGTGTAGAGCTTAATTTGGACAGCATTTTCCATGTTTACATTCTGAATTTCAATTCGGCCTGTCTGACTGAACTGTGAGTTCGGTGTGTTTAGCTCAGTCTAAACAACCCGAGAATGTGATCTATGGCCTGGACCGGTCATATTTACTTGTGCTGTTTAAAATAGCAACATGTTGCACAGCCCTGCCTTCAGCTAACGGTCTAACCAAGCAAAGTTTGTTTACAAGCATTACATCATGCTTTCTGGGTGTGAGAATTCATGTGGATGATTTTTGTGTTATGTCACGTGCACACTATCTACAGACTTCAGAACTCAACACACAATCACCTGAAACACAGAATAATTCATCCATTGAGATATGTCAACAATGAACACATGATATGATATGAAAAGACAATTTATCTCAACACGTTGGCAAATGGTTGGCTGTTACATTGTTGTATAAAACAATTGACATTGTACTTTTGTGGGGCTCGTGAGAAGAAATGTGAATGGTTAGACAAACTGTATATAAATAACGATGATCACGATTTCTATGATAGACGGACTGAAGCATACGGATGCCAAGGGGTAAGTCGGATTGGTGAATCTTTTTCCCTTATTTGTTGCTTTTTCAAATTTGGTTAAGGTCATGTTGGGGTCCTTTTTTAATCGCGGCATCCACCAAATACCTGATACACAATGTGGGGAGGGTGTCTTGGGAAAAAAAGGTTTTTTTACCATTTAAATATTGAGATCAAACAAACAAATGTCCTATTTTTTTAAAAAAAGCATAAACTATCCTTGAGGAGGCCCCACTTTAGGCTTGCACAAGTCTCCTAATCAATAGTTATTAGTTTAAATAATAAATTCTAGATTGTATTAATAAGTCCCCATAAAAGATTGGCACCCTTAGAGTACTTAGAGTATTATAAGGAAAGAATTCGTACACATCCATGGACTTATATTACAGTACAGCCTTAGAGCAAGGCTAGCCCCACTCCTACCCCAATGAATCAATTCTAAAGTCCACTACATGCAGACAAGTGTTAAACAGGTTTTTCATACATGTAATCTTGCTAGCTGATTCTGTTTATATATTCCAAGCCTTACAGTGAGGATGTTATTGTTCGTATATACCAGGCATTAAGCATATGCTGCCAGAATGAACAGCATATTTATCTTAGTAAGTGAAGGGATTTTTCATACACAGGATATCCTGAGTATTCACAGATGATTCAGTGTTATCAGTATAGTAAATAATGGAGGCAGTCGCACTCACAACATGTAGGCTAATTATTGAGTTACAATGGTTGTGTTTCGGTTGGTGGATATCATTCTAGTAATAAGCATGTGTTGGCTTGACAAAAAAATAATTATTTAATTATTGTAAATGTGGTAGTGATTAATGCTATTTTGTAGAAATATGAATGAATTTACAAACATGCTTAAATGCACAGTACGTTTGGATTCATAAATACTTAAGGATTGACTGTGGATCTTTTTCGGTTCATATAGGTATGAATCGAAAAACTGATGTGCAAACTGTATGAATCCGGGAATAAATATGACCAATTCATCTAATCAGAATGCAGGAATAACAATGAACACAATGAAAATTTAATTATAATACAATAATAGAATGCTATGTAATCAATATCAATGAAATGGAAGAAGGCAAACCTTCTAGATTACAAATGTCACACCTAAGTGCCTTTGCAAGTGCCAGTGGTATACATTACTCAAAGCCAATCTGCCCTGTTGTTGTCATGACCTGGTCATGACAACCTTTGTCTGAAATAACATGTAATTCAAAGGCTTATTAGCATACTCGACTGATCTTATTCACAAGGACATGCTCATGCTCAGAAGAGCATGTTTCTTGTTAGTCCTCGCCCTGGTCATCTTCCCGGGGCAAGAGAGTTAACTGACTTTAAAAGTCCAGTTTCAACCCTTGCCGAACTTGGCTGGAATCCTGGGCTCGATCGTATGGTTGCATTGTGCATGTACTGATGGCAACCCTAATTAAACCATGTAGGTATGTCACTCCTAATTATTACTACTGTTTTTAATCTTTCCTCATCATGTGACCTTGTAGTATACACTGGTCCAGTATAAGTGGTAGTATCTACCTGTATAAAGTGAAATATATACTGCAGACTATCAAGTTCTTGTCATTTCTAATCAAGAGCTGCACACCAATCTTTGGTATTTTGGAATATTCCAATAATCATCAAAATAAAGGTAAGTGTTACATATTGACCATTAGTTGTTCATCTTCCCGAGGCAAGTGAGTTAACTGACTATAAAAGTCCAGCTTCGGCCACCCTTGCCGAACTAGGCTGGTATTATGGAGTTACATTTTGGCTGGATTAACGAGTCTATGCATAGTCCAATCACAATCACGCAACGAAATCGAAATCCGGTTCATAAACTGTCATGCAGATTTTGGTCGATTGCAGGATTTGCAAAGCATGTGCACCGCCAACTCGTTGTCAACAGATATTTTCCAAATCTTTTCATTATTTTAATCAAGGTGCTCACGTGATTGGATACACTTTGTGATGTAAGACTCGTTTTGTCACAATATAGATCTTGATTATCGATCAGATCGTCTTGACTGGGCGCCACCGTTTTGTTTGAAGCAAATGCAAGTGATACGAGAGGTGGAATCTGATTGGTCTATAGGAGAGGCATAGAAGGGACATAACTCGTAACAGCCACTGGTGGCACTACAATCGAGCCAAGGAATTCCAGCCTAGTTTGGCAAGGGTGGAAGCTGGACTTTTATAGTCAGTTAACTCACTTGCCTCGGGAAGATGTTGGTTGTTATGGTGACAACACTATTGCAGTGTAGACATATGGCAGGATGCTTGAAAAGAGATGATGATATCACAATAGATGAGCTTGTATGGGGTCTTATTGAGTCTAAATTGAAGTATTTGCTCAATGCTTTTCTAATACAGGTTTACTTAAATAAAATAGTTCTGGCAATCTATTTAACTATGTAGACATAAATTTTGTCTTATTGAATAGTATGTCTGGGAGATGGGTTCTTGTTACCTTATGCTAGTATTTATCTAAACATGCTAAAAGATATAACTGAAACTAATATTGTCTTTCTACATTTTCACTGAATGCAAATATATTGCTGTTCTATAAATATATGAAAATTTGTATGAATGTTCCACCATGACAACTTATGAAAGCACTTGCTGTGGATCTTATTATTACATGAAAACTTGGTATAAATGTTTCACCATGATATAGTTTAAAAATTATATAGGGGTACCAGTTAAAATGGCCGCAAAAGTGTCCTCCACTGAATGTGAGGTTTGCTGTCACAATGACAGTGGTTTATGTAATTATTGTTGAAGTCAGGAGATCAACTCAAAAACTTATGAAATGTGACCTAGAATTATGAGGTCATTAAGATATGTTAGACGGTTTCATGACACTTCCTCATTAGGATTAGGATGTACCTCACAAAGTTGCCATGGCAACAGTGTTATAAATAGTATCACATCCATTTAGTGTATACACGTCGACAGATATTTTTAAGGTGAAATAGTATGCAGGTATGTTTGTTTTTTTGTTTTGGTGTACTATGTCTGCAGCATGTGTATCACAGGGGGCTATAAATAATCTTGTCAAATGTCACCAAGCCTAACAATTTCTGATCCGTACTTCGTCTCTCACTAGAAGTTGAGTTAGAACCCCACTTGTGGGAATCCCACTGGTGTGACCAGTGTTTGGAGCAAAGCTACATACATGTAGGTGAGTTACGGAATGATTGATGATAGGATTAATAGATAATCATTTGATAGTCTTCAATTTTCACATAATTTAATCTGGACATTTGCCTATGGCTATGAGGGGGCACGGGTGGCCCAGTCGTCTGAGGCGCCGCGATTCGCTGTGCAGAGTTGCATCCCTTGGGCACGCCAGAAACCTATGATTGTGGGTTCGAGTCCCGCTTCGCCCCGATTATGTTTCTAGGTTTGTCAGCACCATACCCGTGCTCGTGGGTTTCACCAAAGTGCTAAACGTCTGAGACCTGCATCACTTCGGGCTTTCCTTCCACATTAAGCTGACACGCCGCGATATAACTGGAATACTGTTAAAAGCGGCGTAAAACCCCACTCACTCACTCACTCACCTATGGCTATGAAGCTGAAATTGTTGTTGTGAAAACAAGCATCAAGCTTGATCGCTGTTAGGCTCTTTGTCGTTGAGGGGCATTTAGAAGTTGGAAAAATGAGCAGACATAAAACTTTCCTGGATAACAACTTCCTCTATAGCACCCGGTAATACGATCGAAAGAGCCATGACACTCTTAACACCCATCATGGATACCGATGAAGTTTGAGATATTGTTGTGCAGTTTTGTCATTCCCTCTTTACCACCCTCTTTGATGCCTGTCATTGAGCGCCAGGTGGGAGAATAAGCAGGGCAATTATTGAGATTGGCTACAGTAAAACAAGGCCCGATTTATGTCCGGAATTGCCAGTTGAAGAGATGGGAACAGTGGCATAATATTGATGAAAGGTCATGTTTCTTGAAGAATGTGTGCATTATTTACTTTCCAAACAAGCCCCTGCTTGACAGTTCCATGACCAGGGTCCTACCAGGTGGCGCCAAGCAGGAAGGAATAGTTCCTGGAGTGTTCCACATAGACTTGCACAAGTCTCTAATGCAGTAATCATTAGTTTAAATCATAAGTTCTAGATTATGTAAATAATAATAACAAGTGGTTCCTGTAAGAGACTGGAGTCTGTACTGTTCACATATCTAGACTTGCCTGTTAGGAGGATAGAATTACTACACATCCATGGACTTTTCTGTAAGTACAGCCTTGGAGCAAGGCTATGTTCCAACCGACAGCATGTGGAACAACCATACCTGGGTTTTATGCATGTGTTTGAGGCAGTTTCCCTTTGTTTGTTTAGCATTTACAGTTTTGTTCAGACATGGAAATTGGCAGAGGCCTTCCCTGTGAATAAATATATTTTTGTGTGGATTTTAGTGTTATTTGAATCTGGATACTTGTAGTTGTATTTGTTGTAGTTGTGGATTATGCCTTACAACTTCAGTCCAAGGACATGCAACGCATTCAGCTCCAACAATGCCTTACTTCAGTCCATGGACATGTAAAGCCATTCAGCTCCAACAATTCCTTACTTCTGTCCAAGGACATGTAAAGCCATTCAGCTCCAACAATTCCTTACTTCTGTCCAAGGACAATTTAAAGCCATCCAGCTCCAACAATTCCTTACTTCAGTCCATGGACTTGTAAAGCCATTCAGCTCCAACAATTCCTTACTTCTGTCCAAGGACATGCAACGCATTCAGCTCCAACAATTCCTTACTTCTGTCCAAGGACATGTAAAGCCATTCAGCTCCAACAATTCCTTACTTCTGTCCAAGGACAATTTAAAGCCATCCAGCTCCAACAATTCCTTACTTCAGTCCATGGACTTGTAAAGCCATTCAGCTCCAACAATTCCTTACTTCTGTCCAAGGACATGTAGAGCCATTCAGCTCCAACAATTCCTTACTTCTGTCCAAGGACATGTAAAGCCATTCAGCTCCAACAATTCCTTACTTCTGTCCAAGGACTTGTAAAGCCATTCAGCTCCAACAATTCCTTACTTCTGTCCAAGGACATGTAAAGCCATTCAGCTCCAACAATTCCTTACTTCTGTCCAAGGACAATTTAAAGCCATCCAGCTCCAACAATTCCTTACTTCAGTCCATGGACTTGTAAAGCCATTCAGCTCCAACAATTCCTTACTTCTGTCCAAGGACATGTAAAGCCATTCAGCTCCAACAATTCCTTACTTCTGTCCAAGGACATGTAAAGCCATTCAGCTCCAACAATTCCTTACTTCAGTCCAAGGACATGTAAAGCCATTCATCTCCACAGGGATTATCCTGGAACTTTTTACTAAAGAGAGAAATGTGATGAGATTTAGCTGATTATCAGAGTGTATTTGATTTTCGTTATTTGTGACTCAAAATTATGGTGCAATTAATGGTACAAGATAATTTAGATATATCATCGAGAATACTGTTTTCGAACACTATTATTCCACTGCGATTATTAAAAAATATGTTTATCATTGGATAATGAGCATAGTCAACTGAAATTAAATACTAATTACATTAATATTTATGTAGTTCTGTTCATTGTCGACATTAAGAGGATTTCTTCGCAGAGATACACTTATGGATCATTAACAGGCAGATGTCATTATCAGATTTCAAGGTCTTTGACATTGTGTGTTCAGATCATAATTGAAAATATTCAAAGTAAAATGTTATGAAATAGTGACTGTTGTAATTGGTGTTCAAGTTTTATTTACATTCATCAATTTCACTATCTATTTCCTTATGTAGTGTGTAGCCCACCATATTGAAGGAACTATTATTGAAGTTTCAATTAATTAGTCGTGGCAGTTCATAATATGTTCATTACACAATGAATATAGTTCCTGGTTCACTCTTGGGTAATTAGCAACAATTACCGTATTCGACGTAATAAACTCCCAGGGCCCATAATTAAGGGTGCATATAACACACGAGTGTGTATTATACACGAATAATTAATTAAGTCTTGTGCACATTAATCAATCGGAAGGGGTGCTAATGGGGATTGTTCACTAGCCAATACATTAGCAAATATCGCTGTGGGCGCTTATTAGAGCGGGACACTTATTACGGCGAATACGGTAAGTCATTTATTTCCCGCAGAAGGCAGTGTGTTTGCCATGCGTAGCAGCCAGAAAATGTTGACAAGTAAACGGAAGTTGAAAAGACTGTTGACAGTTACATTTGAATGATTAAGTCACATTTTAAATTTTTTTATGGACAGATTAGTTAGATGTGCATGATTGATATGCACTGAATGAATGTTGATGCGATGACTATGACAACTATGCGAGAATATCACCAAATTGTGGCCTAGGTCAATCCTTGAGCTCGTAAAATCTTGTGTAACTTCATTCTCAGGTCATGCTAGACCTTTCAGCTCGTAAAATCGATCGTATGAAACTTTTAGCTCTGGAAGTGTCACATTCATCTTGTAAAATCCTGTATATACAGGAACATGGTTGGAGAATATAATCTCATATTTTGGAGGGGCATTATTGAGGCCATTGTACAACTATTTAAGTACACTTTTGCAATACTACCGGAATTACAAATATTATTTCTTTATATTTTCATTCTGTATTGATTTCGGTATTTCTTATCAGTATTTTTACTTTGTGATGATGTCTATCTCACTTATTGACAGGCATCATTGTCAACTGTAATGTTGGAACTTGTCATCAAAGTACTGCCATGGATATGCAATGGATCCTTATGAATCGTTACACTAATACATCATGCATATACATGCAGTTTCATACATTCACATTCATCATTTCTCTAGGTCCTCTCTGACTTATTGTTTGTCAAATTATATTTCACTTTTATTCAAAGTCTGCTTTTTATGTGTAAAGCAAGATGATATATTTTATGAGAGCTTTATTCGGTTTTGTGAGATAAAGCTTGACACAAAACACAGCATCTCCTTCTCAAGCCATAATATAACAAAAACTGACTGAAGCTCTCATAAAATATATCATCTTGTGTTACATATAAGAGTTGAGTGAAGTGAGAATGGTTTTACGCTGCTTTTGGAAATATTCCAGCAATATCACGGCGGGGGACACCAGAAATGGGCTTCACACATTGTACCCATGTCGGGAATCGAACCCGGGTCTTCGACGTGACGAGCGAACACTTTAACCACTAGGCTACCCGACCGCCCCTTACATATAAGAAAACAGACTTGCTTTCACAGCTTCTCTTCTCAAGGAATATTTTCATACCAAGAGGCTGATGACTGTTGTTTTTTCACTATCTTTTAGAAATGTTATACAGTGCCTTTCATATTGCTGTAGTTATTCTGTCATGGCATGAGAGACTAACTTAATTAATATGAAAGAATTTTATGTTCTTAAACTTCTTTGAGCAGAAAACTACTTGGGTTTGTATTTGTGTCAGTCGCCGTAAATATTATTGTCAAACTTTCAAATCCACTAACAATACATTTATTTTCTTCAGGGCACTCAGCTGGTCCCACATGGTGAAGATGTCCCGATTCGGCCAGTTGTTGGCGGCCATATTGTTTCTGTGTCTCTTGGTCAATGGCCTCATCTTTGTGCTCCGAATCAATGGATACAGTCCAGTCCTGATCGTAGCCGACACTGCCAGCACGGTACCAAAGTTTCAGTCAAATGTCCAAAGCTTTCGAACATTACAACAGAGTTCAAATGACTATGATGGCCAAAGCAGAACATCCAAAGCTCCTGAATCTGAAAGCAAGACAAAGGGTAACAAAAACGTCACAGAAGTCTACATTGATACTTCAACAAAATCAACCATCCAAATTGTGAATCCTCATGACTTTTCATACCTTATTAATGAAGCTGACATGTGCAAGGAAGCGCCGGAACTTATCATTGTGGTGTGCACCGGGGTGAAAAACGTCAAAGAAAGACTTGCAATTCGAGATACTTGGGGAACATATGTTAAAGACCCTTTACATAAAACTAAAGTTGTGTTTTTGTTAGGTGCAACAGATTCCAAGGATATGCAGAAGAATCTTCTTGATGAAAGCAATACATATGGAGACTTGGTGCAAGAAAATTTCCACGATAGTTACAGGAACCTTAGTTTAAAATCTGTTGCTATGCTGAAATGGGTAAAGACGTATTGCATTTCAGCAAAGTATTTACTAAAAGCTGATGATGACATGTATATAAATGTTCCAAATCTATTAACATCACTTCGGAAAAGGAAAGAAGAAAAATTTATTCTTGGATTTATTTTTGTTGGTGCAAGACCTGTTCAGGACAAAAGATCTAAATGGTATACACCAGTGAGTGACTTCAATGAGAAAACCTACCCTCGATATACGTCAGGGACGTCTTATTCCATGTCTGTGAAAGCAGTCCCAGACTTGTATATTGCTTCACAGCAAGTTAAGCTGTTTTGGCTTGAGGACATTTACATCACAGGACTGTGTGCTCGGAAAGCTGGAGTTCAACAGTTTCATGATGGTGGCTTTTCGTTTTTGCATAGGCATCCCACTGGATGTGCGTTTGTGCAAGCAGTAACTGGACATGACTACAAACCAGAGGATCTGTATAAAATACATAAGGAGTTATACAGCAGCCCTCCACCCAAGTGTTGATCCAAGTGTACTTATCATATCCCAATCTCATTAAAATCAGATCTTAGTTCTTGCTATCACTAAACAAAGATCTGAAGGCATCGCATTACGGGTTACGTCAGATTGACCTTTCATCCAACCAATCAAAGCGTCGCTTACTAGATCATGAAAGTGACAGTCGGAATGTGTTTCTGATCATGAAACCTCGAAAATGTTAACACGGGGTATTCCGAACGTCAGTTACGGCCCGTACGACTGATTGCGTCAAAATTATCGTCTATCACTCGCTTCTGTGGGATAAACATTTGAACGGAGGAGATGTTGCACAGTTTGTGGGAAGCACTGCCATACAATCACAACCATATATTAGACATTCCTGAATGTTCGTTTGTTCAGTTTTCAAAATTTTAATCGAGAACTGTGTCAACATATTTTTCAAGCGTAGTCTGAAATGGAAGTCACCAGGTTGAAACGAGTGCCGTAAAGCTCATAGAGCTGCTTTCTAATTGGCTGATGTCGACTTCTAGTTAGTCATTTCAGTGGTCGGTCAAAGTTTGCGAAAGGTTGTTCTGATGTGACCCATAATGGGATGTCCTCAGATCTTTGTTTAGCGGCAACGAGAACTTAGATCTGATTTTAATGAGATTGATTATATCCTCGCATACTCGTGTTTTCGAGCTCCTAAAAAGTATCTTGCATGACCTGTCTAATAACAATAGCAATACACTAAAATTAAGTCTTACCTTTGAGAACATTTATTTCTGTTTACAAGTGGATAGTCAAATGACCAAGTCAGTTTAAACGTGATAACGCCTCGCCAAGCGAGACGAGTTGATCTAGCGCCATATTGTTACCGTCACATGATTTCAAACCCCTCCATCACAGTCAGGTTAAGAATAGATGCACAACTTGATCAGTCACATGTCATTAAAGACAGAATGTTCACAAACAGCAGTCGATATATCATCGGTGCATACAATTGTTCTGATGCAAAATTATTATGAGATCAAGTTTGATTACAATGTGCTAAGTGAAAAAGTAAGTTTTGAGGTATGTTTTCATTACTTATTGAATGTCTTATCCCGTTAAGCTTAATTAAGCTTAATTTGTAGCATAACTACAGCGACAAGTTGTGAACACTTCAACCTCGCATGGTTACATATTGTTTAGGGGCTCAAAAACATGTCACATGGGGATACATGTGTGTGTACGTTCTCAAGGCCATGCAGCCATCAGGCCCTTAGAAAGTACACTCAAGGTCGAACAAATTGCTCTTTCCTGTGTTTTTAAGGTTTTCCTGTATTTTAATAACATATGAAGAATATTGAGTTTGTTTGGCATGAGTAGGTTGGGGTCATATAAGTTTAACATTCAAATGATTTATTTTCCTCAAATAGCTGGGAATTATGAACATTTCGTAACAATAGGCCGCATGTGCACAATTTAATCTTCTCCTATTTTCTTGGGAGTATTTAGGATATGCTCATTACTAACAAGTAAAAACAGTGGTCTGGACTGTGTAAACCTGATCTAACTACATTAATTTGTGGAACAACGGCTTTGATTTAGACTGAAAATGGCGATGGTTATCGTTTCCGGAGCAGATCTTGAAAAACGTACCAGTTTTCTTCACCACATTTGGCACATTGATAGGTCTAGTGGTAAACTGGTGCCTTTTGATAGTTTGGGATTTTTTTTAAAAGTTATTTTTCGAGTTTCCATGGCAACAACTTTGACTTAGACTGAAAATGGTGGTAGTCCTCGTTTCCGGAGATGATCTTGAAAACCCTACCATATTTCTTCACCAAACTTGGCACATAGATAGGTCTAGTGGTGAACTGGTGTCTTTTGATAGTTTGGGATTTAAAAAAAATAATTTTTTTGAGTTTCAATGGCAACCAAACTTAATGTCATCTCACAGTATTGAATACATTTCCTTTTCTTGTTGGTAAGTTCTGGATTGCTTGAGTGTATGTTCCTCCAAAAGTGTCATGGACACAGTTGTTGCATTCACTGACTAACTTCATGCAGAAACACAACTCATTACAAATACAACAGTGTAACTGATCTTAAACCTACTCAACAGTATAAACACTATATATTCTTGTCAACCATACTCTGTACTTCACTTGCTTGATAACGATGTTAGAACCTACACTGAAACCATCGCTCCTAATTGTAATAAAGAAGTTGTTCGTCCATATGTCTCATCCTTACTCATTACAAATACAGTTACATATTCTATCATAATCTCCAGATGGCATAACAAGACCAGTTATAACTTTTTTAGTGCTGCAATTACTGAAAGGTCCAGTGAACATAGTTCTGGACATGTCATATTGGCGGGGGATGTGAGTATTTCATGCTTGTTTTCTTCGGTTTTATTCCGATGTTGGCATTTATCTATATGATCTATGCACCTTTTTTGTACATACACTTGATGCCCAAAGAATATTTAAGATGAATATGACATGAACAAATAAAATGATGTTGTGTTCATTTTGTGTGTGAGAGAGGAGGAGGATGTTTCTATTTTATATTTGGTGTTAATTAGAACTTTGGATTTGAAAGGTTTGTAAACTGAAGTTTAAAAGTTGAAGTGAATGTATTGTGTTTTTGTATTTCAGACATTAATATCCTGTGATTTTCTGAAGTTAAAAATGGTTTTAAAATAACCAGGGGACCAATGTATTCAGATTCTCATACCATATATGTGTAACATCAGACTTTCTGTTCATTTAAGCTTTTGTGAAGAAGCTGCTGCATGGGTCTTTTAAGACAATTTGTTGATTGTGAGTTTGGTAAGTTTAGAAGGTTGTTTTGTTGAAACTAAAAGATTTGTTGCGAGAAATGTATTTCATGCTTCAAGTGGGGATTATTTTCAGGTGTAAGAAATTTTCATTCATATTTATGGAACTCAATTTGTGTTATCAACATGAATATCGGTTCCCTACCCAATTAGGAGATATACCAACTGTGTTTCTAAAACTTTATATACACTCTCTTAGTTGATTTCTAAGTGTGAATATAATTGTTTTAAAAATACCTACCAACAATGACTGAGAAAGAAGTACTGTTTCTGTATATATTAACATCAACATTGATGGAGCCATGAAATTGTCTGTTTCAACCAAAGGTGGTTATTGTGATTTGAAACCTCTAATTGACCAATCAAAATCAAGGAACTGACAAATTCATGGCAGAATGACCAATTTCCTAATATCTTCCAATACCTACAACTTTCAATATGCTTGTTGCCATGAGTATTAATCAGTTAATGCCCTTGTATTTACTGCGGGACTTGCTTGGTGCTGTCATGGCCTCCTAACATGGTGGAGCATTGCTTAAAGCAGCATGTTTTTCTATCGTAATTTTTTCTTGCTGTCTCATATGGAGTGACTGCCTTGCAACTGATTAGCTGGCGTTCTGCAACCCTCCACGTCTGGATATGATACCCCAGAAGCCATGAAACATGAACTTTCAGAGGCAGATTCATTGTTGTTTTCATCCAGATAACATTCTCATGTTAGTATTTACGAGTAACTACCTGTTGTTACAATCTTAGAAATATGACTGTTGTGACTTAACTGTGTTTAACAAGTCAATTCTTCTAACTGAATTAGGCCAACTTTTCTGCAATCTCATTATGATCAGAGTGAGTGAGTTGGGTTTAACGCCGCTTTTAACAGTATTCCAGTTATATCACGGCGTGTCAGCTTAATGAGGGACGAAAGCCCGAAGTGATGCAGGTCGTTTACCACTTCGGTGAAATCCATGAGCATGGGTATGGTGCTGACAAACCTAGAAACATAATCAGGTCAAATGGGATTTGAACCCACAATCATAGGTTTCTGGCGTGCCCAAGGGAAGCAACTCTGCACAGCAAATAGCAGCGCCTAAGACAACTGGGCCACCCGTGCCCCCATTATGATCAGATCTTAGTGCTCTCTACACAAAGATCTGACGCCATCCTATTACAGGTCAAATCATAGCGACCTTCTGCAGACTTTGACTGACCAATGAAAGGACTTAAAAGAAGTCAACAATAGCCAATCAGAATGAAGCTTTCTTGAGCTTTACAGCACTAGTTTCAAACTAGCAACTTTCATTCCATCCTTCACTTTGAAAAATATAGATTCAAAATTGCTGAAATGAGATCGTATGGCAGTACTTTCCATAGCCCATTCTTCCATTACAAATGTTTATCCCATTGATGTGAGAGAGATAATTTTGACGGAATCAGTTGTAAGCCTGTAATTGTCCTTTGGAGTTCACCTTTTCAAGTTTGCATGATCAGAAAACACATTCCAACTTTCATTTTCCTGCTCTGGTAAGCAACTCTGATTGGTCAGATAAAAGGTATGACCTGTCAGGGCTCAACTTAAGGAACTTGATTTAGCTTGAACCAGGTGCATGTTGATTTGGAAACCAAATTACACCAAACTAAACCAGGTTGCACTGTGGTCGCATAAATTTATCAAAGTTGAAACATAGGCCAGTCAGCTGCCAGTGTCACTATTATTATCAATGCTTTGCTGTAAAACATAATAGGAACATGTGCACATAATCTTGAAGTACCCACAGTTTGGCGATGTCAAGCCCAATGAAGTATGACAAACTGCACATAATACAGGGACTAGTGATGTAGTATGGTAAGTACACCTTACAGATACTGAGTTTGTTCAAAGATTGATTTTGTGGCATCTTCCCGAGGCAAGGGAGTTAACTGACTTTAAAAGTCCAGTTTCCACCCTTGCCGAACTAGGCTGGAATTCCTGGGCTCGACCGTAGTGGTTATTATGAGTTATGCCCCTTCTAAGCCTCTCATATGGACCAGTCAGATTCCACCTCTCGTATCACTTGCGTTTGCTTCAAACCAAACAGCGGCACCCAGTCAAAACGATCTTATTGACATTCAAGATCTGTATTGTGATAAAACGGGTCTTACATCACGAAGTGCATCAAATCACGTGAACACCTTGATTAAAAACATGAAAAGACTTGGAAAATATCTGTTGACAACGAGTTGGCGGTGCACATGCTTTGCAAATCCTGCAATCGACAGAAATCTGCACGACATTTTACGAACCGGATTTCGATTTCGTTGCGTGATTTTGATTGGACTATGCATAGACTCTAAAGTCCAGCCAAATGTAACTCCATAATACCAGCCTAGTTCGGCAAGGGTGGAAACTGGATTTTTATAGTCAGTTAACTCTCTTGCCTCGGGAAGATGATTTTGTGAAGGGGAAACATAAGGGACACAAATTTGATTTTTTTTAACATGGTGCATGTAGACATGAATATTTGGTTGCATTTTTCAATAATAGGTTGCAC